GGGGGACAAGCGGCACCGAGGGGTCAAACCTCCCCCCAGCGTGACCCCTGCGAGCCACCGGGGCTTGCCTCTGGAGCTCGGCCACAGACAGCTCCCACACCGAGAAGGTGATTCTGGTTTTTAGGGAACGGCCATAACTGAATTAGATTAAGTCTTGTTATTAAATCTGTTAAATGTTATTAAGGTCATGATCTGATATATTTGTGAAAATGTAATTCTAGACTTCTGCATTTCACGTTGCAACTGCTCTTGACAGCTATTATGAACATAATTGAAATGGTTCAGGTTCCCAGTATCTGACTTCTATGTCATTTGTGTTCAGAGATCACCATCCAGTTGTAAGTAGTGCTCTCTCTGTCTCAGAAGCACGGGCAGCCCCTTAAAGCACTGACACGTATACGTATGCAAAGGGAAAAAGATAACATGGAAGAAAGCTACTGAGAGACTACCTGGGCAGTACAGATAACTTCAGTGTGTTAGAGCCGGCCACTGCACAACCTAGACCCACTTTTTCAATGACTGAAATAGCTTTTCTTCCACTGCAAATGTTAAAGGCACATGCTGCCAGAAAGGAGGGTTTATCATTGCCTGCTAGCCAGAAGCTAGGGCTGCTCCTCATTGAATATTTATTAATTTACATCACCATGGCTCCTCACTTGAAGGCACTGTCCTCTTCAAAAAGGAGTCATCTGTCCTCTGTTAACTCAGTTCAGAGCTGAGTTTGGTTACAGTCTTTAAACTGCAGCCAACTGTCTTCCTATTGAATTTGTTAGTTTGGAAGGCAAAGAGCAACTCAATGCCTATGGAACATGAGGCCCTCCAAGCCCTGCACCTGTGCATCATCATCAGCCATGAAAGAAATGCCTCTCATGCACCTAGACCAATGCGTGAAGCACATAATGAAGGGCATCACACAACAGAAATTGTATCATGTCAGGGAATGGGCTGCCTGGGGAAAGTTTACACTCTGTTAGTGGCTAGCAGAGTTATTACAATGACTGTCAAGGAAATCATGATTGTACTGAAGTTCTCTCTATACAAAACCACAGAAAGATGTTCCTGCTCAATAACTCTTCTAAAAAGAGAGCTAACAAATGTGAATGCTTCTATCTGAAAAACATCACTTTCTCATAATTTCCTCCAGCTTTAACCAGAGCAAATTCAAGGAACAGATCAGCATATTTGAAACAGCTGTAGTTCACAATAGATCAATTTCTTCTAGTATTTGGAAGTAGTCTTTTTTAAGTTTATAAAGTTAAAGATATGGCCTGCCAGCAGTGATGGCGTATCATCAGCTGAAATCTTCCATGCAAAGTTCTTGCTTTTGGTCATTGACTTTATAACCTTGTAGTTCTACTTTTCATTTAGCAGCCAAAGCCATAGAAACCTTTCCAAGGCCAGTGAAAAGCACTTTTGCCTACATTACAAAACTACTGCAATCTGTTTTTGCAAAGGTCCAGTATTACCACACACTGTGCCAATAACATGATGCAATCCTTTCGTAGGAAGTTGTACCTGTTTTCTTTTTTGAAATCTGCCCTGTGATATCCCAGGTGTTTATTTGGTACCATTATGGTTTTAATGACTAAATCTACAATAATTCACCTTTGGGGAAGGGATTTTTATCTGCAATAAGGTGCCCAAACTATCCCTCTTTTGTCAAGAAGGCAGAGGACCACAGAGAAGCTGGCAGAGTCTGCCTAAGGAAACAGCAAATAAAGTCAGGACTTGCTGAGAACTGGCGATGGCTCCTCTCTCTGCCCTGGGAACCAGCACCCACTGGCCAAGGAAGTGGCACAATTGGAGCAAAGTTGGAGGGAGGGGTGTGAAAAGGGTCCCAGGTGATGATGGCACAGCATAGAAGAATCAGATTCACCATTTTCTCCCAAACCCTGAAGCAGAATTCAGGATTCTCACATCTAAACCTTCACCTGTGACTTTGCAGCAAGGTACCTGTGCAATGCAATATCTAGGTAGTGTTGCACCTTTCTTTTTTATTCTAGCCCCTAAAGACAAAGAAATAGCTGTGTTACCTCATGTAGAGGCTATCTGTGTGGTACTGAGCCTACACATAATCAATACATTTTCAGTATGGGATGACAGTTTACCATTTCCTCTGGTTTGCTCCATCTTTTTTAAACAAGTAAAATATTCAAGAAAGATTTTTTATAATACAGATATTCAATTAAATTAACACTTCTCTGACAATCTTATCTTGGCCTTTTAAACAGACTTCACAATCTTTATTCCCTCCTTCAATCTTTCTGTATCACACCATATGTGTGGCTCATGTTGGCCCTGTGGTTTGTGTGCAATGCCTTTAAAGCAGCTACTGAAGTCCCACTACCAAGCAGCTACCTTGACCTTTCGCAGTGAAAAGCTTTTGGCTTCTAGCTAGAAGGAATGAAAAACAGCCATGCAGAGAGCCCTGTATGACGGCCTGGGATGGTTCATTTCAAAAAAAATCAGCATAAGTAATGGGAAGCACAGAAGTTTTAAGCAAACATCAGTTGGTATGGTTTCAGGAGCAATTCAGATAGTTAGCAAACCATGGCACTGAGCAGTTCACAAATAAGATATGCGAACAAGTAACCTTGTTCAGCCCATCACTGTATGTTTGCATCAAAAGATTGCTGTTCAATAACTGCACACTTCCCAAGCAGTTCCTTGAGCCCAGCAGCTAGCTGTGAGACCTTCTCTGCTGGTCACCATGGAAACTTGTGGACCCATTCTGCATGTGGTCAGCCTTCCAGAGATGAGGCTGTTAACAGGCACTATCATAGGAAAAGACATCTCAAGACTAATTTCCTTAGCATTACTGGTGCATATGAAATTTTAAGTTCCTAACTCTGTAGAAGCTTCTGATGCTATGGTTGGCTCAGCTGGCAAAACTACTGTCAAGTTTTTTAAAGCTTTGAGTTCAAACACGCATTTTTATTTGATCTTTGTTGCATGATTTAAACCTGATTAAATCTAGCACCTTAAGGAAAAGCCTAAAAATAGATAAGATGTTGTTCTCTCCTTTGGTAGATATGTGGAGAAAGTAGTAAAATGCAATAAATTGGAACCAGTTTAAATATTAGTTCAAGAATGTCATAAATTGTGAGATTTTTTGAAACTCAGTCACTTTTGAGTTTAATCAAAATGTTTTTGAAAACAGTAACAATAATGTTAACATACACAGTGGTAGAATGGCAAATTAATTTTTAATTAAATAATCAACATCACTATTAAAAGGAAAGAGAAGAAACATGCTAGTTTTTAAGTCAATAGGAAATACTTCTGTGATAAAGAAGATCAAAGATGGCATCGTCTAATTAAAATAGAAAATGCTGCGTGAACATCAAAGGGATACCTACAGCTCAGACAGACATCATCAGGTAGTACAGGAACCTGAATTCTTCTAGAATCATCTTTGCCTCCACTGGCTCCAAACTCTGTACTTTGTCACAGCCTGCATGGAAAATCAAATGCAAAAATGGGAACTGAACCTACTTTTACTGTCAGAGCTCCTCCTGAAGAGTTTGAAAGTTTCGCTACTATCAGTCTCTTGTCAAACTGAGCAACTCAAGCCTGAACTAAAAGTAGTAGTATTAGAGCTAGTTAAAAATTGATCTTTAATCTTAAAGTCTGTCCTTGTTTTCTGTGTTCTCCCTTTCCACACCCAGAAGCTTCCCCTGGGTACAGAGGAGGCTACGTGGCTTCGGTATAACAGAAACTTCACACAACAGGAGGCTGAGTTCCTGATTAACAGCAGCGCCTTTCACTTTAACCACAACTATTTAAGCCAAGAAACAAAACAAAAAGAGAAATCTATAATCAAATTGTGCATCTGTTTCAGATGGATACACTACTGATGATATTGAATTTTACTGGAGTGGAGGAGAGTCTGCAGTAACGGGAGTTAACAACATTGAGCTCCCACAGTTTTCTATTGTTGATTACAAGATGGTCTCAAAGAGAGTGGAATTTACAACAGGTAAGCACTGGCTACTTAAAAAAGCTCCCTCTACCTTCCCCAGCCCAGAAATACCAGTGTCTAACTTTTGTTAGTTACTATATGACTTCTTTCTTTCAGGAGCATATCCTCGATTATCACTTAGCTTCCGGCTTAAAAGAAATATTGGATACTTCATTTTGCAAACCTATATGCCTTCCACACTGATCACAATTCTGTCATGGGTATCTTTTTGGATCAATTATGATGCCTCTGCAGCCAGAGTTGCTCTAGGTAACTTCTTTTCAACATCAAAGAACTACAGATAGTTGTTGCCTTTGAACACAGAAGCACCAAATCCATACAGCTGATTGCAGGAGCATTAATTGTGATCTTACACATGCAGCATAGGGTCTCTGTTGTCAGGAAGGCAGGCAGGTGTCACCTTGCCTACATCTGAAGTTCTTGCTCTGCAGTTAGGTTGGGATCCTGATTGACTTTCAGTTTCCATAACGGTCTTTGGATCAGGCCAAAAGCATCTTGCTTCCAAACTGAAGCATAAAGGCCTAATTCAGGTACCTAAGGGTATCTACACTGTGCTGCATCAACCTTTCATTGATGTTAAAAAGCTTCCTCTCAGGCGAGATGTGTGGCTGGAAGGAATGAATGCACAAGGTCCTACTGACATCAGTCAAGATGTCATCATCATACAGTGATGGATAACACTATGACATGGAAATTATTTACTTCTGAGCACCCCTTTAACAGGAAAAGCTGTTTTGGCACAAGCATACCACTTTATCATAAAGCTTCCCTCTCTCTTTTCAATCCTCTGTTTTCAGTCAAAAGCTTATTCCAGCTCCCCAGAGCAATGCAAGCCACCCGATGGGCGCAAGCAGGGCTACTGCTGCAAATAAAATGAGAAGCATTTCCTCACATAGAAAGAACAGTCATCAAAAATTTTGCTGTCCCTGTCAGCTAACAACACGTTCCCTAGCAGAGTTATTGTAAAAATTAAGGGAAGATGTACCAAGATAGCCTGAATTTTTGAAGGCTATTTCTCTGACCCTCTGTTGCATGGAAAGCCAAGGAAGGTGCTATCAGCAGGCCAGCAAGGATATCTTCCTTTCCAGTCCTGCAAAACACATTCCCTTGGCTGTTAAGAATCTGATGCTGTCTGAATGAGAAGTGCACAGTAGCTGGGCAATGGTGCTGTTACAACCTTTCTTTCCCTGTCTTGTTACTCAATGTCTTTTTCTTCCTTTTCCAGGAATCACAACTGTGCTGACTATGACCACCATCAGCACCCACCTCAGGGAGACTTTGCCAAAGATTCCCTATGTCAAGGCAATAGATATTTACCTGATGGGATGCTTTGTGTTTGTGTTCCTGGCCTTGCTGGAATATGCCTTTGTAAACTACATATTCTTTGGGAAAGGACCCCACCGTCAAAAAAAGGCAGCAGGCAGGGCAGGACATGCTACAGGCGAGAAGAGCAGACTGGAAACAAATAGATTCCAGGTAAAATGTTCAGGTTAACTGTTCAAACATTATTTCTGGTGTGACAATGTTGATATATATAACGACAGAGAGAAATGCAGTTTGAGCACATACACAGAAGCATTTAAGACTGTCTAAAGAAAATTGTATTTTAAGGAGATTACAGCAACACATGGTTTGCTTCATCTTAGACTGAAAACAGAGTAAGAATCTACAGAAAATGTCAATGAATATTCAGAACAAGCATTTCTTTGCAGCACAGAAGAAATAAAAGGGGTACAAGGAAGTTAAATATTTACCATTTCAACTGTAAAAATGGGCTTTTCCACAGAAGGTGGTATAGAATAAATGCTTTTTATATAGTTCCTTTTTACACACAGAAACCTCACCAAGAACAGAAAGCAAAGACAGACACTGTAGCTTCAGTGAGCCTTGAATGGAGCTCACACCACTGAGCTTTCAGGAGTGCAAGGAGGATGCTGCTAGGTTATAACAGCTTTCACAGATGTCATGATTTTTCTCTCAGGCTAAATTGAAGCAGACCACAGCTACCCCCTCTTAAAAAACAAGCCAGACAAACTCCAGGAAATAATACTATGGACATTTTTTTAACAGGGAAAAGTTTAATTTAGCAGTACATCACTGAGCATTTGCAAATTTCTCTAAACCTATTCCATTTTTTCCCAGTTTTTCAGAAATAAACACTTCCCTCAGGTGTATTTGGTGCGGTCTGACTCAGAGGAAAATACATAACATAATGAGCCAAAAATTTTCTTCTGTTCTCTGTTTTTCTTACAATATATTACATCCAAGTATTAATGAGATCTTAGCCAGGCTGCCATATAAACTTCTGTACTGTTGTGGCCTGAGGTCCCCCTGAGCAATAGGTTTTCAGCG